ACAAGGTATAGTCTGGCTGTCGGAAGGTTTGCAAGAAACGTCCCCAGTCACAAACACCTTGCAGCCCATGATACACCTTGGCGCCTGCCACATGGGGCATTGCATCGGAGGAAGCATCATACACGACATCCTCATGGGCAATTTGCTGGGCTGCGCTGATGCAGGAACTCCCCTGCAGTTTTCCCTCTACAAAGAAGGTGTACATCTTCTGGACCGCTGCCAGGTCGCGGTTGCTTGGGCATGGCCCCCTGGTCTCCTCCCAGACCAGCAAGCAAAGGAGGCCTGCTGCAACCAAAACGACTAAGCTAAAACCGCCAAAAATACTTGCCTTTCTTTCGCTCAGTAAAGGCTCAGTGACCATAGCTGTCCCCCGCCTTCAAGTTTATCACTCGAGCCAGCAGCTGAGGAATAGCATGTCTGTCTAACAAAACGCTCTCCAACATGGCCCAAATCCCACACACACAAGATCCCACATGGCCCAAATCATGCGATGGAGCACACCGAATCCGGCCCCGCAGCCCTGCCTTGTACCAGCGCTCAGTTTTCCACCCCTTCTCTTCCGCATCACCTAGGGGTACCAAGGCAACCGTCACCATGTCCTCCCCTTCTGTGAGACCACTTTACCATACTTTACCTCATGATATCCGCAAAATTTGAAGGTGGTAATGGGGCGTAAGGGTGATCTTTCATCTCTTCTCGGTGTTGTAACAAACCTGTAGCTCCTCTTGGGACAGCGGCTAGCGGAGCTCTCGTCTTTGTAGCCATCACTCGTCTCAAAAACCAGGCAGTTCTCTGGTGTGAGCTTCGACAAGTACCTCTCAAACGTCTGCGCTGTGCAGCTACAAGTTCGGACAGAGAAGTTCGATGGAGAGAGTTGGTGAGTGTTCACAGCCATCGCAAAAAAGAATCAATTGAATTCAGTCAAGTCAAAAAGTTCACACCATCTCCTGCTGAGAAGACGGTCGTCTCGCCGTTTGGACCGCTGCGAAGACGGTAGGGGCACTCAGCCACAACGTCAGGGCGCCATTCATCGAGAGCAAAAGGCCCTCGCAAAACCTCAGGCATTGATCATCTGCTGTTGGTTAGTAGGAATTTAGTGCTACATCCAGCAAGTAATTCCGTGCCTCCTTTGCAGGATATCTATGCAATGCCTTGCCACGGTCATGCTCGAACAAGTCCAAAGGGTTCACAGTGCACAACGATCTCACGGGGTTGAATCGAATATACCCCCTTGAGGCCCTTGAGGAAACAGCTACTTACTTCGTGCCTTACTGCGTGCCTTCTTACAGCCACGAAGGGCCATAGATGGCCTTCTTACGACACGAGTCATGCCTTCTGACGGGTCTCTAACCCGCCCATCTCTCGATCCGAGCGGCCATCGCTGCAGAAGCAGCAAAGTCATCTGGCAATGGTGAGTCTTCCTTATGCGCAAAGCCTAAAGTCGACGGAGACGAAGGTGACCCGTTTTTAATGCTTCACACTTCACACCAGTGCACAAAAGGCTGGGGGTTATTGCAAGGTCATGCGAAAATGGCATGAGCAGCATCAGTTCTCTAATCCAGGCAAGTCATCAGTATTTTTTTAAGAACCTACCACATTCACCGTTGTAACAGGGGTGCCCGGCTGATCTGCTGCAGTGAAGAAAGCTCCTCATGCACGGCTCCAGTCAGGCACTGAAGTGCCATGCGGGCTATGCTATCATGAACACAAGCCTTAAAAATCTCTTCTTGTGGGCCAGCTGCACGCACTTTCTCAACCTTGCTGGAATTGCTTCAGGCTTTATTCAAGCCGTCATGAAAATCAAGAACGGTCGAGACTTTGGCAAAGCAGCCCAGGTCATGAGGTACAAGCGTATTCGAAAAGGAGTGCCAGAATCTCTTCTCTGTGGCAATCACCTTCGGGCCTCCCAATTGCCAATGCTCCTCTCATGCTGCCAACACTCCCCTCAGGCTCATGTTGGGTTCCGGGCGTGAGAGTAATGTTTACGGCAAACAGCTGCTCCTTAAAGAATTGAAAGGATGGGTGATGGGTGCTTTCTTCGAGACATGGTGTTTTCTGCAGGTCTGATCATCTAATCCAAGTAGAAATCCTCCAAGCTGATTCAAGCCGTGTCTGATCAACCTGTTCAGATTCTCTGTGGCTCCAGCATCTGTGAAAGAATGAGCAGTTCCTTAGCCGTTACCAAGTGCCTTCAGAACTCATGGCCATTAAATCGAAGACCTCCACATAGTTTCTAGATTAAAGTGGTGAAATTGTGCTCGTTTACTTCAACCTACTCCGCACAAATTTAGCTTTGGCAAGTCTAAAACAACCCGGCTAGGGCCCTGAAAAGTATACTCAACCGGGCAATTTCTGGTGCGGTGCTTAGTGGCCGGTTGTCCGGTTGTCGTTCAAGGCCGCTCAAGTTGATTCATCTTTGACGCAAGTACAATTCATTTATATATGCGGCGCAAGCACACCTAATTCCAATTTCCAGAAGTCGTCAAAAACACAGGCACGCCAAACAAACTTGGGATTGAGTCCTCACAGGAAGGTGATGGAACTGGGTAGCCTCCTTGGTTGCCGGTCTTCATATCGCAAACATTACTGCAGGACTATCAAGATCAGGCCTAAAATGTGCTGAGCGGATCGCATGTGCTGACCGCTGCTGACCCCAATCCCGTGCAACCGGAAGCATTATGAAATCAGGAGGCGCTTTCAGTGTGCCAAGGTGTCTGTGTTTGTTGCACAAAAACATTTGAGCCGATGAGTCGAAAAGCCACAAGTGCTGTCTAACATCTTATCCCACTCCGAAGTGTTGTTGGACCTTGGTTGGCCTGTGACTTCCTTTGTGTACTGGCCTCCCGTCCTGTAGCTGCAAAGTGGTGCGACATTGGCAGCTACAGTGGTACAGTGGTCCTCCCTGCATCCCGCAAGCCTGCAGCATTTGCGTCGTGTCTCTGACTATGGACCTCCAGCCTTCATGGCTTCACTACGCTTTTGGAACAGAGACTTCAGCCAAAGCTCCAGCAGATAGTTGGTCAACCCAGCCAAACCTTGGCATTCAGTGGCAGTGGCTGAAAGCCTCTCGCCACCAACCATCAAGCACGCCCAGTGAGGCTCAGGCTGATTTAAGACATCCTCAGCACTTTGAGACACTCCAACGACAACTCGGCTCCCACTGAGGAGCTCACATGCAAGGAGCCCTGACCTTCATGTCCTGAGAAGCACCCACTTCTGGACCATCACGTTGTTGGAAGAGTCAATGCTACCCGGGGCTAAGGCCAAGCATGTGTGCAATGTAAAGTTCGGGCTTGGCAAAGAGATGCGTCTGCCTCGGCACAACAGTTCTGAACTGCTCTTCAGTATGAATACCAACCGCACAATGGTGACGTTTTGTCAACATCAATGATCGGTCAGCTGGGGATTCTCTTCTGTTCCGCGTTTGCTAGGCTTTCCCACACTGGCGGCAGGGGCCAATAGACCGCAAGGGAGCGCGCCTGGTGAGGCCAGCGCAAGAATCCTAGTCTCCTAGGCTAGTCATGTCTGTGGAGAGTAGCGGGCGGGGGGAATATGACACTTGAAGAACAATTGAACAAGAAGCTACGAACGGGGCTCCTGGCATCGCTACGAACGGAGCGATCGGACGCTACGAACGGGGCTCCTGGCCTTACTACTGGGAACAAGAAGCTACTAGGAGCAAACAAGAAGCTACTAGTAACAA